TACCCACTTTGCCAGAGTTAAAAGAAGCCCTGATGACCAGGTGCCAAATACAGCCAAATTCGTTTATTCCATCCTTCACTTTCACTGTGTTGTCTCAGTCACCATGGTGCTGCATGAGAAGAGGCGGCTGTCTGTCAAATGAGATGAGCAGAGAGCATCAAAAACCCTAGAATTTCTAATTTTTTTTTCTTTTTTACTGTTTTCTAGCTTAAATTTTCACTATGGTTAGAGAATGTATTATTTTAGTCCTTTGATACTTGTTGAGACTTGTTTTAGGGTCCAGTATTTAGTCAGTTTTTAGAAATATTCTGTGTTCTGCTTAAAAAGAACATCTGTTTTACATTTGTTGTATTCAGTGTTCTGTATATGCTCATTGAATCAAGTTTATCAGACTGTTTAAATCTTCTATATCCTTATTGTTTCACTTGCTTGGTTTATTGATTAATGAGAGTGATATAATATATGTCTCTTGTAAGCATCATATAGTTTTATAAATCTTTTTTATTTTTATTTTTTGAGATGGAGTTTTGCTCTTGTTGCCCAGGCTGGAGTGCAGTGGTGTGATTTTGGCTCACTGCACCCAACCTCTGCCTTCTGGGTTCAAGCGATTCTCCTACCTCAGCCTCCCAAGTAGCTGGAATCAAAGGCATGCATCACCACACCTGGCTAATTTTTTGTATTTTTAGTACATCTTAAAGCTTTTTTATATTAGTTAGCATATTTACTTCACTCACATTTAATTATTTATTTTTTAGGCTTAACCATTTGCCATCTTTCTTTCGGCCTTACATATTCTATTTCGTTTTTCTCCTTTCTTGTCAATTTTTGGATTATCTTTATTTTTATTTTTATTTTATTTTATTTTTTTTTTTTTGAGACAGAGTTTCGCTCTTGTTACCCAGGCTGGAGTGCAATGGCGCGATCTCGGCTCACTGCAACCTCCTCCTCCTGGGTTCAGGCAATTCTCCTGCCTCAGCCTCCTGAGCAGCTGGGATTACAGGCACGTGCCACCATGCCCAGCTAATTTTTTTATTTTTAGTAGAGATGGGGTTTCACCATGTTGACCAGGATGGTCTCGATCTCTCATGATCCACCCGCCTCGGCCTCCCAAAGTGCTGGGATTACAGGCTTGAGCCACCGCGCCCGGCCTGGATTATCTTTATTATTGGATTTATTAATTTTAGAAGTTAAACACTTAAAAAGCTTTTCTTTTAGTGATTAGATATTATAGCATGAATCCTTCTTCCCAAACAACGTAAGAAACTTAAAACTTTTTATTCCATTTTCCCTTTTCTAATCCATATGCAATTGTTTTGTATATACAATCTATATGCAGTTTAATTTTGCATATATTTATGTAAAATCCCACCAGAGCTCTTGGTCCCAGCAGCAGCAGAGCTGAGCCAGCAGCTCCTTCCCTCCCTCCGCTGGCCACTGGCCAGCAGGATGGAACAGGCCACACTCCTTTGTCAAGGACTTACTGGATGGAGGCTTTGCCCTCACTATCTCCAAGAGGGCAGCAACATGAGTTGAGCAGGTCAAGGCACTGCTGCAGGTGCAACATGCCACTAAGCAGATCATGGTAACACAGTACAAAGGCATGGTGGGCTGCAAGATCTGCATCCCCAAGGAGCAAGGCATTTGTCCTGGAGGGGCGCCTAGCAGCACCATCTGCTGCTTCCCCATGCAAGCCCTCAACTTTGCCTTTAGGGATAAGTACAAGCAGGTCTTTCATGTACTTATACACTGTGCTTCTTCTACCTCCTGGAATTCACCAGAACCCATCTGGCTGCCAACATTGGAGAAATTGGGCACGGAGTGGGAGCTTAAAGGCCTGGCAGACTGCCTGGAGAAGATCAAGGCTGATGGGATCCAGGGCCTGTCCTAGGGCTTCAGCATCTCAGTGCAGGGCATCCATATGTACCTGGCAGCCTACCTCAGCATGTATGATACAGCCAAGAGCATGCTCCCTGACCCCAAGAACAGCGACCAGACCACATGATGAGCTGGATGATTGCCCAGGCCATGACAGTGATCCATGTATTCTCCTACCCACTCCTCACAATTCCGCCAGATGGTGATGCAGTCCAGACGCAAAGGAGCTGACATTATGTACACAGGCGCCCTTGATTGTTGGCAGAAGCTCTCCTAAGATGAAGGAGGCAAGGCCTTCTTCAAGGGTGCATGGTCAGCATCCTCAGAGGCATGGGGCCAAGACTGGTCTTGTATTATGAGCTGAAGAAAGTCACCTAAGTGTCTCTGTCTCCTCCATAGAAATGTCAACCCAGAGAATTATGTAAAATACTTAACTATTACAGATTATGGACCTTCAAGAAATTCCTGTTGTCTTTGTCCTGGCCAGAGATCATGTCTATAGAGGGCTAAGGTAGGCTCTAGAAAAGGGGCTCATTGTGATCACATTCCCCATTGGCACCTGATTCCATGTCTGGATTACTGGGGGTAGGAGAATCATGATATCATTGTGAGCCCATAGGCTGGGAAACTCCAGCTCAGACCTAGAGTCCAGATGCTTGTAGGACCTGAGTTGTGTTTAAGTATTTATTTAAATCAAAGGAATTGTGTTTCCCATTTGTACTTAAGCACTAACTCTTCTTTTGCAGTGAGTATTTATAATTATGTTCTGTGTTAGGCATGCTACTGCAAAACAAACAAACAAAAAAACAGGACACTGAGAGCCAGAAAAAACCCCACAAGGTATTATTAAATATTCTGATTGTATATAGAGAATATTAGTTTTACCCACATACTTATAATTTCTGTTGCTCTTCATTCTGTGCAGCTCGTAACAACTTCCATCAGACATTATGTCTAGAAAAGAATACTTGTTAGAATTTTATTTAATGAGCATCTGCTGATAGCAGATTCTGGTTTTGTCAGTCTGAAAATGAGTTTATTTCATCTTAATTCCTGAAGGATATATTTCAGTGAATTCTAAATTGACAGTTATTCTCTTTCAGCCATTAAATATAGTACTCTGTTGTCTTCTGGTTCTCATTGTTTCTTTTGAGAGCCTACCTGAATTAAATTGTTGTTTCTTTAAAAGTAATCTGTTCTTTGTTCTCACTAGCTGTTTTAAAGATATTTCCTATTTCTTTGGTTTGCAGGAATTTTTACTGAGATGTGCCTAACTTGTGAATTTCTTTGATTTATCTTGCTTGGGATTCCTAGGACTTTGGAATGTCTTTAATCAGTTTTGAAAAATTCTCAGCCAGATAGTGCTTCTGTGCCATGCTCTATTTTGTCTTCTTCTGGGGTTCCAATCACATGTGTGTTACACTTTATCATACTCTGTGTTGCTTACCCTTTCTTCTGTATTTTCTCTCTCTTTGACTTACTGTCCTTTGTTCTGATGGGTTCCTTCTAACTGCTCCTAGTTTTGTAATTGTCTCTTTAGTTGCACTTAATCTGCTGTTAAACTCATCTATTGAATTTTTCATTTTGATTATTGCAGTTGTCACTTTTGGAATTTATATTTGATTGTTTTATAAATCTAAGTGAAAAACAAAAAAAGAACACTAAAAAAAAAATGAAAAAAATCTATGACATTTATAAAATAATCGAACTCCTGTTGATCTGTTTCTGTTGTCTTTTGGTTCTCATTTATGTGTGGTTTTGTCTCCAAACGTGTCTCCATTTATGTGTACTTGGTTATCTTTGTTTATGTGCTAGACATTGTATTTTAAAAATTGTTTATGTAAATTTAATTTAGCAGCTAAGATGATGTTATCATCCTATAGAAAAGATTTTCATTTGCTTTTGCTAGTAGATACCTGGAGTCACAAAAATCTGGGGTCATTTAAATCAATTTTAAGCATCAAGATTTTTCTGGGCCACAGATATGACCAAGCAATTGTTTTAATTCTAGTTTATCACTAATCCCACAGAGAAGCTGTTTGGGGTCCCAGCCAGAACATGGCCTGTTTACTAGAGCTCCCATTGTTGGTGGGCCCTGGCTTCCAACTTTTGGCCTGAAAAGGCTTGTGTGGTTTATTTTATTTTTATTTATTTATTTTAAGACAGAGTCTCCCTCTGTTGCCCAGGCTGGAATGCAGTGGCACAATCTGGGCTCACTGCAGTCTCCACCTCCCGGGTTCAAACGATTCTCCTGCCTCAGCTTCCTAAGTAACTGGGATTACAGGCACCCACCACCACAGCCAGCTAATTTTTTTATTTTTAGTAGAGACGAAATTTCACCGTGTTGCCCAGGTTGGTCTTGAACTCCTGACCTCAGGTGATCCTTCCACCTCGGCCTCCCAAAGTGCTGGGATTACAGGCATGAGCCACTGTGCCTGGCAGTTTTTTTGTTTTTAAATAGACCTTATTTTTTAAAGAAGTTTTGACCTGGCATGGTGGCTCATGCCTGTAATCTCAGCACTTTCGAGACCAAGGTGGGCGGATCACTAGGTCAGGAGTTCAAGACCAGCCTGGCCAACACGGTGAAACCCTGTCTCTTAAAAAAAAAAAAAAAAGAAAAAAGTTATAGGTTCACAGCAAAATTGAACAGAAAGTAGAGTCTCACATACCCACTTCCCCCACATACTGACAAGCTTTTAAGTGCATTTTCCAGTCTGCAGTTCCTCTCCTGGAATTTGCAATGCTTCCATGAGAAAAGTGTCCCTAAATACAAGATTTATATTCTAGATTTTGGCTTGGTAATTCTTTACTACCTTGTTGGTTTGTGATACCTTCAGCCAGTTGTTTTTTAAAAATCAGTCCAGCTTTTCTAATTGTTTTCAGTGGGAAGGTTGGTCTGAACTATGTAGCCTGCTGTTATTGAACACAGTTTTTCCCTTTCTTATAAATTGTTGTAAGTAGATTGCATATCTGGAAAAGATATTAATAGATCTAGCTGAAGCTATTAAGGAAATAGTATAACTAAAAACCTTTTCTGTTAGCCATTATAGTTTTAAAATTATACTTTCAAATATAGAGATATAGAAATTAAACTTTTATTTTTAATGTATAATCTTTTATTCCAGCTCGTGATGCTGATGAGCGAGAGAAGTGGATCCATGCCTTAGAAGAAACAATTCTTCGACACACTCTTCAGCTTCAAGTAAGGGTCTTTACATGGCTTCCAGATCGTTCATTAGTTGTTGCTCTTTTCTTTTTGTCTGTTTTCTGTTTGTTTTTTTTTTAATAACTGTGATGTGATATAATAGGAACTTACAATTTCTGAGTTGTTTATTCTTGCCTTTACAGTGTTACAATATATAGTAAAGTTATGCTCATTTATTTTCTCCTGCTTTCTGCAGGGTAAAATACTGATTTTTGTCTAGAAAAAAGACAGTGTTGAAAGTGAAATTCAGTGTTAAAATATGCCAGATTTATTTTTAAAATTTAATATCTATAATCAGTTATCAGTACAACCAAATTACATAATTATGCATGATAATAGGTAAGTGCTGAGAATTTGACCTCATTTTCTTTTTAAAGGATTTGGCTATTACCATATGTGTCAGTTAGTAGTCTTTTGCATGGTAGTGAAAGAAAACTTAACCCAAACTGATTCACAAAGAAGACAGTAAACCTGGTTAGATGTGGTTTGAACCCTAGGTAATTCATGTCATGAGGACTCAGATCTCCCAGCTCTATTTCTAGGTTCCACTTCTTTTGCATTGGCTTCATTTTCGGATAGGTTCTCCCTTGGTGGTGGTGGTGGTTGTAGCAATGTCAGCCTCACGTTTTTGGAACTGAGTCCATAGGAGGCTCTTCTTTCTAGACCTTAATAGGGTTAACAAAATTAGCGCTGATCACCTTAGCTTTGGCCTTGTGTCGAATCACAATTTCACAGTCATAGATTCTACCCTGAAGCTGGAATGTTACTGGCTTCACTAGAAACAAATTGCTGGTAGATAGAAGGTGTGTTTATCCTACCTCACCACCCGCACCAAAGTCAGAATAGGGAAAAACAGATGCTGGGTGACATGCAACTAATATTTGCTCTACTACTCTGAAGATATTCTTCTGTTTATTCTCCAGTGAAACAGCTTATATTTGTGGCACATAGGGATTTTTTTAATATTAATTTAGAAGATTTAATTGTAGAAAACAAGTTTGTTTGTTTTGTTTTTTGAGACAGAGTTTCGCTCTTGTTACCCAGGCTGGAGTGCAATGGTGCGATCTCAGTTCACCGCAACCTCCACCTCCTGGGTTCAGGCAATTCTCCTGCCTCAGCCTCCTGAGTAGCTGGGATTACAGGCACACACCACCATGCCCAGCTAATTTTTTGTAGAGACGGGGTTTCACCATGTTGACCAGGACGGTCTCGATCTCTTGACCTCGTGATCCACCCGCCTCAGCCTCCCAAAGTGCTGGGATTACAGGCTTGAGCCACCGAGCCCAGCCAAAAAACAAGTTTTATAACCCTTTCTCTCTTTGTTCTACATCAGGAATTGATTTGATTAGATGGGTGTCATAGGGTATCCTAGGCCCTGCAAAATGGTAAACCCTCCATCACTTGAAAGTGTTCAAGTAGAGGCTTAAAAAACATTGTTCAAGGATGTGGTTATTAAGGATATTACTCACTTTTAGAAATGAGTATGGAATTGAAGTAGGAAATCTATAAGCTACTCTATGAGTTATGCTTTTTAAAAGCAATTTGTAATTTCCATAGATTTCTTTTAAATTCAGGCAATTTCATAAATGACTATAGCATCATTTTAGCAAATTTGTGATACTATAAGAGGAGGATAAGCTTTGTTTGTTTGTTTGTTTGTTTGAGACAGAGTCTTACTGTCCCCTAGAAAGTAAATCTGGTTAGATGTGGTTTGTCTTGGCTCACTGCAGCCTCTACCTCCTGGGTTTAAGCAATTCTTCTGCCTCAGCTGCCACACCAGGCCTAAGAGGAGAGGATAAGTATTTTAATGATTATATTAGACTGAATGTGGCAGATGGGATTTCCCTCCCATGGTTGATTAGACTGACATTCAAGTCTTTGGCATGTTTTCACTTGCCCTTGTAGGCATTTCTGCCTCTATACCCCCACATAAACCTTCTAGAGTACTATTGCTTACTCGCTTTCCTTCAAATACATTTTTTCATTTCTGGTCTCCACATTCTTGTGTGTGATGTTCTTTCTCTGTGAAATGTCTTCCACCCTTTCCTTCAAAGCCTAGTTTAGAAAGGACCTCTTCTATGAACCCTCCCCCAATTGGCCTTTCCTTCCCCAATCCCCTAAGTTCAAAATGATCTCTTTCCTTTGAATACTATAGTATTTGCACGATTCACTAAGTCCTTATCATATTCTTCTTGTTTATCTGTTGTCAGCTGATGTTGACATCATAAATTCAGGTTTCTAACTAGATCCAATTTTGGAATTTTTAAGCTTTTGCTAAAAAGAGAGCTTGTATGTCTTTGGGAATAATGGGGAGAAAAAGATAACTTTGAGAAGTCTTAGACTTTTGATAGCTTTGATATTTAAAGTACATGTAATATGAGAGTTCTTTTTTTTTCCCCCCCTAAACTTAGTGCATAGTGAAGATAGGACATTTAGAAATGCAGAATTAATGTTCATTTTGAAGCGGGAGCAGCTGTGAACAAAAGACATCTTGGACACCGAGCTAGGAAGGAAGAGGTTTATCATGGCCTGGGAGCAAGGCAACAATTTGTCTAACAGCCAAGCTCACCTAACAAAGAGAAGCTCTGCCTTTATATAGATATACTTTAGATAATACAAATGAAAGAATCTTAGGTTCACAGCCTTAAAAATTACAAGTGAAAGGGTCTTGGGTTTACAGTTTTAGAAATCACATATGAAAGGGTCTTGATTGATGGAAGAGTGGGGAGGGGGTTTGATCTTGTTTAAGTAAAAACACTGTCTGAAGAGATTCCCCCACACCATGCCTGCTATTTACAGTAAGGTGATGTAGGAGGCACCAGTCGGCCAGCCTTTTCTTCTACTGAAATGCAGTGTGGAAGTCAAGGGGAAGTGATCCAAATGCCTGGGTCTCCTTCATCAATTTGACTGCAAAAGATTATCTTCTCAGAGGTAGCAAAGTGTGGTAAAGAACTTCACTCTAGAGCCAGAATGTCTGTGTTTGTATCCCAGAGCCACCACTTCTCTTTAACTATTAACATTCAACTTTTTCAGTGAATAGTTTCAGTGGCCTCATCTATAGAATGAAGATAATAAGAGTACCTATTTCATAGGGTTGTTTTGGTGATTAAATGAACTAATATAAACTTGCTAGAACTTGATAAACTAACGTAAGATGAAAACTGGTTGAAATAATGCCTGACTATAGTAAGAACTTGGTAAATGTTAGTTGCCATTACTAATACAACTACTATTCCTACCATTCCCTCTGCCAGTGCCTGGTATTCAGTAGCGCTCAGTAAATGTTAGTTAAGAAATAATTGAAGGAATGAATGAACAAATGGTTGATGTAGAGATTGCTTTTTCATTGTTGTTTATTGAATATTTTGAGATGTATAACATACTATCTATCTATTGGGCACTATGGGGTTGGAACTCTCTTTCACAGGGGTATAGGAGAGAAGACACAGTGATCTCAGCAACCTACCTTTAAAACATCCTAATATCTGCTGCTGTGTTAGGTTATCTTCTTTTGCTTTTATTTCTGACAGAACTCTGATGTGTATTCCCCCACCCACTTCCATTTATAGATGAGGACACTCCTACTACATAGTACTTTCCCAGTTTAACACTTGATCTCACTGTATTTATATGTCCTTGTTTTTTAATTTTGAGACAGAGTCTCACTCCTTGCCAAAGCTGGAGTGCAGTGGCACAATAACAGCTCACTGCAACCTCTGCCTCCCCTGCTCAAGTGATCCTCCCACCTCAGCCTCCTGAGTAGCTGGGACTACAGGCTGCACCACCATGCCTGGCTAATTTTTGTATTTTTTTGTAGAGATGGGGTTTTGCCATGTTGGCCAGGCTGGTCTTGAACTCCTGGGCTCAAGCCATCTACCCACCTTAGCCTCCTAGGGTGCTGAGATGATAGGCATGAGCCACCATGCCCAGCCATGTTCTCCTTTTCCATTGAACTTTATCTCTACTTTAGCCATTAAACTCCACTGCATTGGTGTCGTTACTGAGAGCTGAACCACCTGCAAAATATTAAGTTAAAGTGTTTTCTTCAACAGCAGTTTTCTTATCTTCGTCTTCCTTCTGTCACTTTACTTCTTCTGTACTTTTCTTCTCTCATTTTGGTCTGAGCTCTACTTCTCCATTTTTCCTGGCCATTTAGTACTTTCTTGTTTTGCTCGTCTCATTTCCCAATGTAGACCTTCTGGTCCACTGCTTTAACATTGCTTTTGCTAGAAGACATACAAATGGCAAGGAGGTATGAAAAGGTGTTCAACATTACTGATCATCAGAGAAATGAGGACCAAAACTACAATAAGGTATCATTTCACCCCAGTTAAAATGGCTTTTTTCCCCCCAGAAGACAGGCAATAACAAAATGCTGGTGAGGATGTGAAAGAAAGGGAACCCTCATACACTGTTGATAGGAATGTAAATTAGTATAGCCACTGTGGAGGACAGTTTGAAGGTTCTTCAAAAAAACTAAAAATAGAGCTACCATATAATCCAGCAATCCCACTGCTAGGTGTATACCCAAAAGAAAGGCAATATGTGGAAGAGATTCTTGCACACCCAGATTTATCTTAGCAATAGCCAAGATTTGGAAGCAACCCAGGTGTCCATCAGCAGATGAATGGATGAAGAAAACATGGTACATAAACACAATGAAGTTCAGCTGTGAAAAAGAATGAGCTCCTGCCATTTGCAATCCTGTCGTTGGATAAAACTGGAGGTCATTATTTTAAGTGAAATAAGCCAGGCACAAACTTCACATATTCTCACTTATTTATAGGAGCTAAAAATTAAAACAATAGAACTCATGGAGCTAGAGAATAGAATTATGATTACCAGAGGCTGGAAGGGTAGTTCGGGTAGTTCAGTGTGGGGTGAGTGGGGATGGTAAATGGGTACAAAAAAATAGAACAAATAAGATCTATTTGATAGCACAACAGGGTGACTACAGTCAACAATAATTACACATTTA